CACACACACACACACACACACACACACACACAAATACACACACATTTTTAGGCTATGAGTAGCCACAGCAAGTCTAGAGTCAGTAGGACTGGGAGTCTGGTCAGGCAGGGAAGGTTCAGAAGGTCCCCAAACATCCTAAACATTATGTAGTTGCAAAACCTTAGAGGAAACTGTGGGAGCCACCTAGTTCAACTCGTCACCCAAGGCAGGGCTTTTTCCCATGATGCCTCTGGAGTCCCACCAGCCATGTCTGTGCCGACCACAGCAGCCCACCCCATCTTTCGGAAGTTGTGGAGTCAAATCTGCCTGAAATGTGAACCGCTGATGCTCCTTCTGTCTTCTGAAACCACGTGGAAGCCCTACCTCCCTCCCAAATGGCAGCCTTCGTCTGTGAAGACAGCTTTCAGCTCCGCTCAGCCACACCCTTGCACGTTCCAGCTTGACCATGCCCCAGTCTTCCCTGTGTCTCCATAACGGGGAGCCTCCTGGGCGCCTCACCACCCAGGGATGGAAGTCCGAGCTTTCTTTTGGCTCAGGCCCTACCCACATCCTGAGCCTCGTCTCCAGCTGCCTGAACTCACACTCCAGAAGCACGCAAACGCTGGTCATCGCAGCTGGCTACCCCAGGACCACTGCCTGCGCTCACCTGCATTTACACCCTTCTTCCTCGCCAACCTAGTCCTCCTGTGCTTTGGGGACCAGTGCTGTTCCCTCTCCCTCTGAGGCTCTGTGGCTCTCTAAGTGGGGTTCTCCAGTGCTGAGAGACCCAGCACCCCAGACTGGGGGTGGGGGATATTTCTGCATCTCTGAAGGGCTCTGTCTTTCGAGAGGGGCTTACACTGGGGACATGAAGCAAATCGTGGCAAGGAGCGGGGGCACGTTTACAATGTCCCTTAGCTCTGGCTTAAGGGGCATCACATCCCACATACACCCTCACTTGGCCTTGGAGCTGCCTGACCAGCACAAACCTCCAAAGAGGATAAAAGCTTTACTCACGAGCATCTGCCAGGACCAGAAGTTTAGTGCTGGCAGAGCACCCCCGGCTCCAAGTCACTGCCCGCTCCTGCAGGCTGCTGCAGCCCTGTGGGTTCCTGCATCTCACGTGGTTGTGTAACAGCCGGTTAGCATACTTTTCTCCGTCCTGAACCCGGCCTGGCACAGTGTAGGAGAGCTCAGACTACCTCCTACCACAGCAGAGTGAGGGACTGAAAACGGCACCGCACGCCTAACGGCACACCTGAAGCTCCTTGAATCACACTGCCCTCGGAGCCTATGCACAGTTGTTCCCTTACCTGGAACACCTGTTCCCAAGTGTCCCCCTGGAAACGCCCAGTGGATCCTGGTAGGCTCCTCGGAGGAGCCTTTCCTGACACCTGCAGGTTGCCTTGCGTCCTCCGTCCCCTGTGTCCCCACTGCCTTGGACACCTACCCCCTTAAAGCCTTTGCCACTTGTCCTGCGTGGCTGGCATGTGGGAATCCCTGGTCTGTGAATGTCCTGTAAATGGCACCGCGTGCATGCTCCAAATAGGCCTGGTGGGCAGGAGGCAGAATACTGCAGCCAGTCGGTATTCCTGGTTCACATGCCACCGTGGGAAGACTTTGTTTTCTCCTCACTCTCCCAAAACTTTGCGCTTCCCCTGAAGGCAAGGAGGCCAACATGGGGCTCGCCAGATGGGAGGCTATTCTTGTTATTGGCTCCAACACTCAGGCTAACGACAGTAACCCGAAGCAGAAAGGGGAACGCTCCTCACTGGGCTTTGAATCCGAGAGGCCATTCTCGAGGCCACCGGGCCACCGGGGAGCCCCGGGAAGTGAGCTGCAGACAAGCCACCGGCCCCATCTCAGAGGACTGGATCAAAGCGTTCCTCCTGCGGGGCGTTATCTTCCTACCACCAGGAATGTAATCAGCTGAGAAAGGGGAAACTGAGCTGAGCTTTGTCTATTCACCTTGAATCCCTCCAAAGTCTTGGGCAAGGGCCCGGCTCCCCTTCTGGTGGGGGGAGGAAAGGGGGGGTTCCTTCCTCTGGGAGTCATGTGATAGTTCTGTAGATTGTAGATGTGGCCTTGGCACGGTGTATAATGATGGGTTTCACAAAATGTTCTCAACTGTCCTGAAATCATTCCCACCGACATTGTCATGAGTGGTATGACTACCCCTCAGAGGCACTGTTGAGCCCGGGGGTCCCAAACGCCCTCGGCCTAGCGGGGGCCGGCAGGAGTGCAGGTTGCAGGGTGTGGACCAAGGCAAACAGGAGAGCCATGCCCTGATGGACGCAGCAGCAAAACAGCTCAGAGGAGGGTTGGTCGCCAGGAAGCGTTTCCCGTTTTTCTCTACAGAAGCTAAAAATCTGAATTTTTATATAAAATTTATGAATTTTAAAAAGTATTGGCTCAGTTTAAAGAAAAAAAGTCTACACTGCCAATCAAACCAAACCCACCTGCTCTGTCAGCCGGCGGAGGGGTCCATCCCCAGGACTGCACTCGGGAGCCCACACTTGCGGGAGCAGCTGGTGTTCTAGATGACCCCAGGCTTTGGAGTCAGCTGGCCACGGTTTGAACCCTGGCACTGCTGCTTACTTAGTGCGGGGCGGGCGTAAACGGGTGTGCTGAGGCACGCAAAGCCTCACATTTCTCATCAGCAAGACGAGGATAAGGACATGGACCAACACGCTTGTCATAACGTTTGCAGGATGACGCTCATAAAGTACCAAATGGCACCCAGGAGACTTGAGAGTGGGGCTTGTTGTTTCCTGCCCCCTCCCTGGGGAGTTTCAAACTCACCCTCGTGTCAGCTGGAAAGTGATGGCGGCAGAAGGTAAACTTGGATGCTAGCCATGCGCTTGGCTCATTGCCAAGGAAGAACTAATCCCCCAATTTGCTGATGTGGACAAAGACCAGAAAGGTGAGGGCCGGGTCGCTGTGCAGAAGGAATCCAGCCAAATGCTTGATGAGAACAAGGAGGGGACATCTCCTGAGCCCACTCACCACCCACCACCCTGCTGGTGAAACTGAAGCTTCCAGTGGAAAACTTCTGACAGTGCAGAAGGCATCATGGCTAAGAGCGTTTGCACAGGAACATGTCCTGTGACTCTAGTTTCAAACCCAAGCTGGGACCTACTATCTGACCGGCAATACCGGATGAGACATGGGATGGGGACAAAACCTCACGGAAGGCTTGCTACGAGTCACACTTGGTGCTGGGATCATTATCGCCAATGCCACCAATGCCAACTTCTGAGTGCCACTGCAATTTACAGAACCACGTCCTCTAATTCCCACAATCACCCTGTCTTAGGGATGGGTACTGCTTCACTCTCATTCATCAATAAGGAAACTGAGGCTCAGAGAAGGTGGCTCAGGGTGGCACAGGCAGTTAGAGGCAGAGTTAGGGTTTGAACCCGGCTCTCTGGACCTCAGACCCTGCACTCTACACCAGGACACCACCCTCAAGCCCCACAACTCCATGAAAGCAGAGTGAAGCCGTAACTGCCAAGCAGCAGCTCATGTGGGATGCACCCCACTTTGGGTGGTTTATGTACAGTATTTCACCTGATCTGCACAAGAGCCCCAGGAGAAAGTACCATGGCGGGGGGTGGGGGGGGGAGCATCTGTTAAGTACCAGGCAATGCACCAGGCATCTTACCTGGCATGTCATCTGTAACAGAAGAGGACAGCAAGGTGTGTTCTACACCTGAGGAATCGAGGCTCTAAGCAGGTCAGAAAGTCCGATGGCCATGCAGTTAGTAGGACGGGACTCAAGCTCAAGCTTATCTGCTGCACAATGAGGTGCTTCTCCCATCAGGCCATGCTGTCTCCCCGGGGCCAGCGGACCAACCTGCCTCCCGTCTCCTTTTCTCTTCTCTTCCCCTTCCTCCTCCTCCTCTCTCCCACCCCCCGAGTTTTAGCTCCACCTAAGGCTGGGGATGGAGACACCCCAGGCATCACGTACATTCTACCCCTGTATGGATTCATATCTTTACCGCATAAAACAACTCCCTCTCAAAAGGCTCTCACTGACATCTCATGGTTAAACAATTCCAGAATATTTACATTTTGCTTACACTCTTCGGAGTTTCATATTTGAAGCCACTGACCTCAGTCAGGTGAACCTCTTTTTCTAATAGGTTTTTTTTTTTTTTTTGCTGGTTTTATTATGACGGTTTTCCTTTCCAGGAGCAGTGATGACTTTGCAACAAATTCACCTTACTCTCCCACAATTGCCCCTGTGAGGGGCTGTTTATACCTATGAAGTAGGTAACTGGGTTCGAAGCTTAGAGGGGAGTCTGTGGCTACTGAACAGCATTGCCATCTGGTCTCCACAGCCAGATACCCGAGTTTATAAAAAGGTTTTGGGGTTGGTACCTGATTCCGTTGGAGAAGCTGGCCTTGGGTCCGTGTCTCTTCTGCATCCCATAGACTCAGACCGGGTGTTCATGTCGGAATCTAGGGGAAGAAAAAGGGTTGTTGTTTCCATGTTGGGGAGGTCCACAAAATGGTAACGACCATGAGGGAGATCCCTCATGGCCCACAGCCCGGTGCCCAGGACAAGATCTGGAAAAGTCCAGAGCCACGGGTCAGCACTCTTTGGCTCTCATGGAATGTCAGCCAGCAATAGTATCAGAACTATCATTGTCCTCGATATTGAAATCAGTAACATTTGTAAAGCCCTTTAAAGTTGACGAAATATGTTCATAAACATTGGTCTTTACCACACTCTGGGAAGGTAAAAACCGTGACTCAGAACATGAGGTGATAGAGTAAATCAATCGGAATTCGAGAAAATGAAGTTAAATGTCCAAGGTGGGAACAGGTCTTCCATGAAAGCACAGTGAGCCGATGGAGAGAATGGGGTATGAGACAGGTCTTTGGGGTGCTTCCGTTTAGTGTCACAAATTCCTGGGGAGAAGCAGTTCCTTATTTTTGCTTTTATTTTTTTTACCAGCTGGCACCTTATTTACCAGACACATCTGATAACTGGGAAGCACTGGACTTGGAACCAGTGTGAGGGCCCTGCTCCCAGGACCTCCTGTCCATGCCCTGTGCTCTTTCATACTATGTCACAGACATAGAAACAAGTCACCTGTCCTATGTTTAGGGGACTGGAGGTCGGTAAGGAGGGATCATGGGAGGAGGAGGGAAGTGACACAGAGGCCAGGGATCTTTCCTCAGGCCTCTCACTTGGCACCAATGGCCGTGACGTGTCATGGTCCACTGCTTGTCTGCTCCCTGCGGAGGCTGGAGCTCTTACAGGTCAAGGCTATGCCTCACCCACCGCTCGCATCCCACATTACTCAGACGCATCCCAAACGCCTTTCACAGTCCCTGGTCTGAGTAGGCCCTTGGTCAACGCTCAGTAAATGCAAAGGAGGACAAACAAAGCAGGAAGGAGACGCCAAACCTACACTTACCTGAGCCTCCCATTTTGCCCCCAACCTGCTCTAGACGCGTCCACAGTAGCAGGAGTCCACGGCACCACCCACACCTGGGGGCCTGTCCCCTCACCCTGACCTTAGGGAGAGGCACCTGTGACCGAGTCCCCTAGGAGAAATGCCTCCCATAGTCAGCAGCCTCAGAGCTCCCATCCTAGTAACAAGGGCAGCCTGTGGTCAGTGAACATAATCTCATAGGAACCAGGGCTTCCTTCTTCCATCCTTTCTTGGATTTCCATGCTTTTCATTTTTCTTTCAGACTTTGGTATCTTATCTGATGAGCGTTGAGCCCTTCTATTTCATACAGAGCGCAAACTTGGAAAGAAAATACCGTTCTCTCTCTGGGAAGCAGAGTGCCCTGTGAGTGGGAGGTGCAGCCAGACAGTCTCCTGTAATGGGTATCCTGCTCACCCTCCACCATAGAGCTTACCTTTCCAGAGATAAACCTGCTGGAAACTGGTAAAGGTGTCCGGAGTTCCTTCCAGGGATATCATACCTGCAAAGGAAGAGGTTTATTTCTATGAGCTTGAGTGTGCTTTCTCTCAGCGGGACCCACCATGACCACAACCCCCACACTGGCCCCTCCTGGGCCTTAGAACTATTTCCCACATGAGGTATACCCCTAAAAGCCTCTCGAAGCTCTCTTCTAGCTCCCTGGGACAAAACCAGAGCTAGTCAGACCCCCGGTGTCTTGCTCAAGCCACCAAAGAAATGACTGTAGTGAACGTGTGACAAGGAGAATCACTTAAGGAACTGGAGATTAGCTTACAGACGCACAAAGCTCCTAAGAGGCTCAAGTATCTTGCTAATTTTCCATGTCACTTAAGTCCCCTGAGACTCTTGCCCTCATCGGCCAATGGGGATGGGAATTGTGAAGATGGGAATAATTTACATATATTGTCTTCTGCTATATTTTATATGTATCCTATTATTGGTAGCTGCAATCATTTACTGTATTACTAATATTATTAAATTTTCCTTTCTGCCAAACTACACTCCCCTGGACATCGCTCGGGATGAGACTGGATTTGCCACACTATTTCTTCATGATCAAGATTGCCTCTGTTCAGGCCTAAGATCCTACCAACCCCCACTGCGATCTGAAAGGCAGAGAAAAGAGCTCAGAAAGCACAGATTCTGGAGGCAAACAACCCACAGGCACTGCAGGAGAGAGCTGGCTCACAACTTGAGACATCAAGAAATGGCCACACCTTGCTTTTCGTTATGATGAAGAGTCATGTGTTATGCTAGCCAATTAGTCTCACCAGCCATGGCCATTTAACCAACACTACAATAAGCACCTTCCAGGCATTGTCTAATTTCAACCTCATAAGTAGGGATTTTTGTCCCTCATTTCCAGGTGGAGATAAAAATCCAAAGAGTTTAATGCCAGAATTCCAATCCCATCTGTTCGGCTCCATAACCCTGCTTTAACCACCACACTAAGGAGAAGATACTACCTTTTAGAATTCTGTCCATCCCAAATGACAAACATTTGTAAAGGTTCTTGTGTTTAGAGAGGCGTTTCAGGAGGTTGAAGAGGTTCAGTTAGACACTGAACTATTTGGAAAACTCAGCTATTAAACTAACGAGTCCCCACCACAAACATGGCTGCGCTCTGTGCCACTCGGCGGGAGTCAAAAATAATTAGCTGTGTTTCCATTGGATTTTGCATCTGAAATGGGAATCAACACCGATGCTAGAACTTCTCAGGCTGCCCAGTATTGGGATCAGACGTTTCCTGAAAGGACCCACTCCTAATTCTCATAGCCCTCTTCAGATGGTGGAAGTCATTTATAAAAATGTGGGGAAGTGAAAACCTATCATGTCTGGGAAACCTACTCTTGGAAGTTTGGGGACTCATTGTACCCGTGAGAGAGGAAACCACACCACATATTCCTGTGACACCAGCACAGAGCAGGGGTCATCTGCTCAGTTTGTGTTCTGTTTTCATCATCTCCTCCTGATAACTTTGCTTGTGATGTAGGGCAGGCTAGGGGACTTGGAGCCTTGTCACAAGGGAAAGTAGAGAGTTAATTTTTAAAATCTTTTTATCCCCAAAGCTATTTGGTATATTGACTCTTTCAATATATAGAATAAGTAGATGTATTTGGGGTAACATAGGTGGAAAGTATATACAACTTTCAAAATAGTTTAGGCTGTGTATTATAATTCTTATTTAGCCTGTAGAAGTTGGAGAAATGACATCTTACTTCTAGGGCGCTTGATTGCTCTCAAATCTAAGACTAGAACCAACAACCACTTTGAGACATGGTTGACCTTGGGATAATACTGAGCATTAGATTATGGGTTTTCAATCAATATTAGTTCACCTCCCCATTCTTGCCCCTTCCCAAGAATAATTATCCTTTAGGGAATTCCAAGGGAAGGGTCTTCACCACTCAGTTGCCCCCATTTCTGACTTGGGTGAGTTGGTGAGCTGTTCACATTGTCTGAACATCTTGATTTTGTCTGGTATGTGTGACCTGCTTCACGCAGAGTGAAAAAGAAAATCATCTGTGCCCTCCATCGCCTGGAGAAAAGCATGTGCTCCACACAGATGCACATAGGTATCAGGATATATTTGGGCCCAGGATGCACTAAACTGTGGCAGCAACCAGCCCTTCTTATACACGCTCTGTCCTTCTCAAGGCAATGCAGTCCTTTGCCCCCCACCTGGAAAATATGGTGAGCCTTAACCTCATCCTTGGTTTTTGGTCATTTCTGCACAATCCAACGCAATGGAATTCAGTTAAACTCGGCATATAAATGTTGAGCCTCTTGGTATCCAGGTCACCTGCCCAGCCTCTACAGAGACTACTGTGTCCTGAGAAGCATCTTTGTGCATCACAAGGACGTCATCCCCCCCTCGTGATTTTAATTGTTAAAATGATGGCCACGTCTCCTTAGGAACGCAGAGAGAACACTGAGGTAAAAGAAACGGCAATGCCCTTTGTCTTTATCTTCGTCTTTATCGTCCATCCCCATGTGCATATCCGCACTCGCTTCCTTCCATGCTTTTAAATCAGTGAGTGGTGCCATGGTCTTCCTGGCCACCCGCTGCTCAGAGCCATGCCTGACTCCTCCCCCTGCATCAGTCTCCTCATCCAATCAGGCTATTCCCTAAGCCAGCCTTAAACCGACTCCCTCCCCTGACCCCGCCCTATCAGCCCAGCCTCTCACACCTGACTTTCACTGACCCCCTGGCTCCCTCCCATTCCCTCAGCCACACGGCTCCAGCTCCGGGGCAGTAAACCTACCTCCAGTCCTGGGAGATCTACCACAGATTCCAGAAGTCACTCCCCTGACCAGCCTCGCGCCCTGCTCTGTCTCCAAGGTCACATCAGATGCTTGCTTTCAGGCCTCTGCGTCATGGCATGGGTTCTTTCTCTCTGCCTACGACCCGTTCCCCCTTCCACTTGGTTAACCTCTACTCATTCTTTAAGCATCGCAGTCTGCACCCCTTCCTCCTGGAAGCTTCCCTGAACCCTCTGTCTGGTTACCTGCCCCACCTCTGGATTTGCACAGCACTGAATAAACACCTCTGTCCTTAACCTCACACTCCACAGTCATTGATCAGCTCCTTGAATGTACTAGAGCTTCCTGACATGGGGAACTGTGACTTATTCCTCTTGCTATCACCCACACTTAGCATAATCCCTGTGGAGAACCGGTGTTCAGCACATAAATAAATGCAAGTCAGGATGAATGAGGAAAACACAGCAGTCCATGATACTCTGAGCCCACCGAGTAAACACACAGCCTCATCTGCCCACATACATCCGCTGGCCCCCAGATTGGTTTTCCTCATGGAGACAGACTTCTGAGTCTTCACTCCATTGCCCCCTCAAAACTCCCCCCATTCAATCCTATTGAGTGAGAAGGTAATGGAACCCAGGCAAACATTACTCCTCCTCTTCCCTGCTAAACAATAATATTTTAAAGTAAATGGTTCTGCCTGTCCAGACATCTGTTCCATTTCTTCCACGACAGCTGGGTTAGAACATCCTGTTACACAAACAGGCCTCCGACTCCGGCTCCTGACCGTTGTCTCGTAACCAAGGCTGCAGGCACACGCACACATTTAGGACTATTGGAGTTTGGCACGGAGTCCGCTTCTGGAGGGTTACTATGTGCTGTGTGGTCTTTATTCACCTCAGAACACTTCTGCAGAGGCCCTGTGTGTATCTGGGGGGTTCGCTGGCACCCACATCGTGAGTGGGCAGGACCCTAGACCGGACAGCCCGGGGTTCAGAGCCCACCTTTTCCTGGCTGCCTTCTCCTGCTTGTCTCACTTCCCCCATGCTCTGCTTGCTGTCCTTGCCTTTCCCAAATCAACAACACTCCTGAATCCTTGTGTCAGGCTCTGCTTGGTGCTAAGCACACGGGAACACACCATCAAGGATAGCTATTGGAGAGAACGAATGGGGTCACTCCATGTATAGGTGCGTATCTACTCCATGTGCATCTGGTGACAGTGGGCACCACGGATGCCTTGTCTCCAGCTAGCTCCCAGCACCCCGAGATAATGGCACTCACTGATACAAACCAGACGCCTGGGAGGGAAGCACAGGCATCGGGCTGAGCCTTGCCGTTGCTCAATGACACGAAGCCTCCGCAATTCAGAGCGAACCCAGGAGCATGTCTGCCAAGGCCTGCTTTTCCCATCACATTTTAAGTCCCTACGGGCAGGAAGGGACACTTAATCTGCCTGGTTTTCATTCATTTGCACTTCAAGACACGGTCAGAAATGAGGCATTGGCAGCCCCAGAGCTTTCAAAGCCTTTTGTTATTAGAAATAGGATGACGGAACCTAGTGGTTGAAAACACGCACAGAAGCCCACTGAAATCTGGGGGGTGCAGACCCTGAGAGGACATCTCTCTTTGGGCCTGTGCCGCCCCCAGCATGAAGGTCAAACAGAAACGGACGGAAGAGGGAGCCCAACACTTCCGCCTCGCGGCTCGTCTGCTCCCCACATCCGACCCCCAGTGTTCCCGGCCCTTTGTCCTTATCTCCCCTCGGCCCTTAAACTCCTGGATTAGAATGAGCTGCTAGCTCTAGCCTCAAATTTGAAACATCGTGAATATAACTCAGGCTACCTGACTCCCCCATCAAACGACAGCCTTCTTAAAGCTTTGC